GGGGTGGGGGGGGCGCAGGAAGGAGTGAGCCCTGCTTGCCTGGTCCCCACTTTGGCACATTTCACTGAGTCCTCTCTTGCTATGCCGCCATCAGGGGCCATGGTCTGGGGCCGGTCCCATCATTAGGAAATGACCATGCACATTGGCATGTATAGTGCAGCTCCATTGTGAGGGATGACACAGGGCAAAAGGCAAAGCCAGCGTCATCAAACACACAGGCGGCCAGTGCCGAGCGGGGAGGCTGAGGGTGGAACTGACTTTCAGGCAGCAACAGAAATAGGGGTCAGGCTCCTGCCCTCAGGCATGATGAGAAAACCTAGGGTCCGCTGTGGGGGAGGGGACACGGGCCTGCCCCCCTGGCCCAGCTGGGGGCCCGGGAAGGGGGCCTTAAGTGTGGGCTGGTGAACGAGGGCTTCTGGGCTGCGAATTTGTCAGGAGGAAGCTGTCATCGTGAGCCTGGTCTAAATCCACTTCCGTTCCCAGCAGACCTGGTGTCACTCTGGCACAGGATATGTGCTGTACTTTGATGCCACCCAGCATTACCTCATCTCTTCTGCTGGAGAAGTGACTTCACGAATTCTTCCTTGTCAGGTGGAAGCCAGACGCTTCCTTTTCCATCCCGCCTGCAGTCGGGCCCAGTGGCTGCATCAGCCTAGGCAAAGCAACTGAGTCCAGACTCACAGAATCTGTTTCCGGGGGAATAAAGTACAGAGTGGGCTACTGGGCAGAGTCCCAGGTTGCGGGTAGAGCGTCAGCAGTTGGGTTGTGGGGTCGGCGGAGCAGTGGCGGGAGCCATCTGATGCTGGGTGATGCTGGGTGGTGCAGGGTGTTCCCGGCCTTCTGGCTTCTAGGAACACGGGTTCTTGCAAACTGGACAAAGGCTCCCTGGTAGCCACTTGGCTGCCATCTGCTGGAAAGGGGCTGCGATCTCTGAGTCAGGTATATGGTAACAGGAGCTAGTCTGTGCAGGGTGTGAGCAGAACCCTCCCAAGGAGTTATCGTTGGGCACTGTGCAACCTGTCCAGTTGGTCTTGGCAGCTCTGCAAGCTTAACGTTGGTCCTCATGGAAATTCTGAGAGACACTGAATTTCCTTTCATCAATGCCTTTTCTTCATGAAGCTACCTGGAGGGTCTGGGCTTTGACTCAGAGCCCCGACTGACACCACTCGGGATATGGACTAATGACCTGTGCCGTATAGGGCTAACAACAGTTAGCCTGTGGCTGTAAATGTCCCTGAAGGCGTAAAGCATCTATATTTCTCAAATGTTGAGCTAATTTACTAACTCTAGAGGAACACGGGAATGGAGTGTGCTCTATGCCATCTTCCTTCCTTATTCCAGAAACGCATTTGTCTGTTCTTTTGCTTTTGTGGTCAGGGTCAGAGTTCATGGTTAAATAGAGAACCACAAGGATGAAAGGAGAGCGTGTTATAAATATTCCAGCAGGGAGACATGTGGGGAACATGGCTTTGCTGGGTCTCGTCCTTCACTGCCGTGTCTCCTATTGTTACCAGGAGGATGACATCAGCCCGTGTATTATTTGTCTGATGACTGTGCGTGGGTGTGTGCGTGGGTGCACAGGTCTGGCTGTAGCTAAAGCGATCAGTTTCCAGGTTTTCTAGGATTGTCCAAATTTGAGATGTTTTGTCTTGATTTATCAGATCATTTCCTGGCCTATATTTTTGGTTTAGGCCACGTAGGAACTATCCCTCAAGGTCACAGCAGCCCCTGCCCAGGGTGTGGAGAAGAGGGACAATGATGGGGGGGGCCTCCCCAGGAATCCTCTCCCCATCAATTGCAGGAAATACGTGTTTGACTCCATCCTCTGTGCTTCAAGACCAAAAGGAGGAAAAGAGGCAATGTGCTTGTTTCCCACGGACCCCCTCTTCCTGTACCTAGAAACCGGGTTGGGGGAAGGTGGCAGGAGCAGGAGGCCTCGGGCAGTCTGGTAGCTGTCCACTGGTATGGTTTCAAGAGCATCCGTCCAAAAGCACCACCCTTGTTTGCTGCTGGAGGCCTGACATCACTTAGCTGTGCCTTTCTTCTGCCTGGCAGGAGGCGCAGGAGACCACGAGGGCCGGTAGAGGGAGCCTTCGGTCATGTTTGCACTCAGTGGCTCAGGGGTTTGGGCAGAGGGGAGGCCAGAGAGAAGAGGTGCTACCTACATCCTGAAGGGAGTGGGGGTGGGGGGTCAGAAGGGAACCAGTGAAGGGGAGAGGGAGGCATGGGAGTGTTGGTTGGAGGAGTGTCACTAGGCAAAAACACATCTGTTTCCAGAATTTGTCCCAGGTTCCTGGAGTCACCTCTGACCTTTGCATGTCTCCTGCTGGCCTCTCCACTCACCTCCTGCTGAGTGACAGACTTTGCAGAGAAGGGAATCTGTGGCCCTGATGTCCCCTGCTGGTCCCTCTTTTCCCCTTATGAGGCTCTAACTACAGCTGGCTTTCGGAAGCTGGCTTTTCAGAATGTGAGCACCAGCTATGCCTACTTCTGGAAATGCCCAGTTGCCCCTTGGGGTAAGTTCAGAGGACCCTCAGGGAGGAACTGCTGACCTGGCTCCCGGGGAGGGGGATAAGGTCTAGAAATGGGTTTCTTGAGGTGTGGCATGGATTTCCAGGGTTCTGTAATTGGACATTTTTGTCTCTTAGGGACAGGCTCTGGGATAGATAAAGTCTTGGGGTAGATAAAGGCCTGAGAGAGAGTCTTACTTCCTGTTGGTCCATTATTCTCCTGTTGCATAATTCAGGTCTCAAAGTAAGAGTCATGGCCTTTTCTATTGAGTCCTGTTCTCTGACCCAACTTGTCCCTGGCAGTGGGGTGGTGGGAGCCATGGATCACCAAGTCCAGTTTTGTGAACTTGCCTTACCCACACTCCTAGGCCAATTCTTCCCCATGGGCACAAGAGGATATCTGTGCACCTTCTGACTACCAGATGGACCGACCTTCTGACTGACCAGAACCCAAGAGACAGACAGACAGACCATCTAGAATGGCCTTCTTTCATGCAGGAAGCACCTCTTTGGCACTATGGACGTGCACTTAGAACAACTCCAGATGTTAGGCAACTATCTTAGGGGGCTATCTCCCTCATCTGGGCACCCTGCTACTTCTTGAAATATCTCTCCTATTTTTTCAGTTTGGCCAAACTTTTGCTAAAATCTTCCTCTACCTGCTAGACCTCGAGAAGTTCTCCTTCATCTCTTCAGCTTTCTCTTTCCAATTCAGAGGTCTGTATTTCAAAGGCCTCATTCCCTACCTTTATCCAAGTGCCTCCACTCAAGTCCCAACTACTTTAACATCTTGGGGCCTGAAGGAGCAGAGCACACCTGGAATACTCACCTGGCCAGGGGAATTTCCTCACATGCTTGGGAGCATCAGGGATCAGGATCCATTGGGTCCCATTCTCTGCCCTTTTGCATGTTTGCCTGGACTCCCAGAATGAGGACTTGGTGGCCCTATAATAGACTGTCTGAGCTGACAAGGAGCTCATATTGTATTTTTTTATACTGGGCTGTGCTTACCTCTGTCCTCAGTCATGAATTGGGAACTCCCAAAGCCACAGAGTAGCCAACAACACTGACTCTACCAAAAGGCTCTGGTGGAAAAGTTAAGAAATTGGCTCCAGACAATATTTTTATATTAAGACAAATGCATGTGTGCTACACAATAGATGTAGAAGCACAGATTTCAAAGCCACAAGATGAGACTTCAAAGGAGTTTTATACTTGGGAAGGTTGTTTCAGGCTCTTTCTTTAGTTCAGTTCCAATCCCCTAACTGGCTGACCCCCTCAGCTAAGGATGTTTGGGTAGAGAGCTTGGAGGTGCTCTGGTGGACCCAATGGCTACACAGTGAGAGGTGTGGAAAGCAAGGAGCAGCCTAAGAGAAGCCATTGACACCAGGACACTCATCTGGGAGGCACCCGGATGTGAAATGCAGATTTTTCCTCTGCCTGCACTGAGAAATGTTGCATTTGGTGTATAAAAAATGGCAAAAAAGGGGATTAAAACAGAAATGGGGTTTTGGGTTAACCCTTGGTGGTCCGGAAAATGCAACTGGAAGAACAGTTTCTCAGTGCTGGGTTCTGGATGCTTTGGGAGTTGACCTCATTTGAGGACAGTGTTATTTCCTTACCTCTTTTAGGATCTGGTGTTCCCGGGTTGGGAAAGGTCTCAGGTGTAAAAGGAAGAGAAATGTAATTCCACTGCTAAGGAATTAGAAAAAGATGGCCAAGCTGGCAGTCAGGACAACTGGAGGTTACCTTTTTTCTTTATGTAGAGGAATTGGGGTGAAGGCCAGAGGTGTGAGGGGTGAGAAGATTCATCAGAGACAGGGGAGCAGAAAAGGCAGACTTACTGAAATACCCTGTAGAGAGGAGCAGCAGTTGAGATGGAGAGGTGTTGCCATGCCATGTGGGTCAGCTCTGTGGCCGGGAATCGAATTCAGGCTGGGGTGGTGACAGTGCTGTGACTGAACCCTAGGCCACCAGAGAGGGCCAGGGGGTCACTTTGGATGCCAAGCTAGGGAGCTGGTAGGACTCATCTACTTTGTGATTCTCTTCACTCATACGCCACAGGCGTGGGTACACATGTGTACATTCACAGGCACCATGCACACACACACACACCTCACTCTCTGGCTTATAGCTGCCTAAGATTTATGACCCAGCAGTACCTCGCATGGGTGAAAGGTGGAGAATGGTGTTCTGTCCTTCCCACCAAGCAACACGCAATTGAAATGAGAATTGGAAGCGGAAGTCAGTCTCGGACAGGAAGTCAGTCTCAGACAGGGCACTGAGCAAGTATAACTTTCTTGACTCAAGACTTGTCCTTCAAATTGTTACGCAGGGGTCAAAACTTTCTGCTTCTCGAGCAAATGCGTCTTTGACATTATCGTAAGCTTACGACACCTGTCTCAGAACCTTAAGCAATGAATGTCTCCAGACTGGCTTGTCACTATCACCTCTCACAGAAGTGCAACTCTCAATAGAATTTAATCAAGTCAATTAATACTGTTTAATAAATAGGCCAGAAAATTAGCTGAGTTTTTTCTCGGCAGGATGCGGCGTGCGACCAAAGTTATGGAAGATTGTCCCTTGAATCACTAAGGCAAACTTTGTTGAGTGTCATTTTACATAAAGCAATCACATAAAAAAAGAGATATAAATAGAAAAAATTCCAAAGTCCTCCCACAGACAGATAGGGAAAATCGAAACATCAAAAAAAGAAAAAAAAAAATGAAAAGAAACACAACCACCCTACCCCACACCCCATTTGCTTCAAGTTCTTCTTGATCATACAGTACTCAACATCTTTGGATATTTTACAATGTACAACTCCAAATTGCAGCCAAGAGAAAACAAAAAGAACTAACCAGTTGTCTGAAAAATTGAGTTTATAAGAAGTCATTACCTTTACAAAATAAAAACAAAAGCCCCACACCACTGGATTATAAGTTGTTCGTTTCCCCTTGTTCTCTTTGACATTTGGCGCAGCCCCGACCCCTTGGCTGACACAGGCGGGGACACAGGCAGGTTGGGTCCCAGAAGCAAGTGTCTGACATGGAGACAGGATCTCGAGGCAGCTGTCCAAGCAGGTGACTTCTGGAGACAAGAGGCTTGAGAAGCAGTTCCCTCGGCTGGAGCGGCGTCTGGTGGGAGGCGCGAGGCACCGGGGTCTCTTCTGGGGAGCTGGGGCGTGACAGAGTTTGAGGTCTTCTCTAGCCTTTTTGTTTTTGTCTTTGTGTTTACTCGGGAAGAAGCCAAGGCAAGAGGAAGAACCAAAGTCTCTTGTGCCCACAGCTCTGGGTTTGGGGACACCAGGCCCCGGGCAGTCTGTTCTGAAGAAGTCTCCTTTGGGGCTACTGAGGAACAAAAGCAAATTCAGCAAGAAAAGAGAGGACAGGGCAGGATGGGGAGAGAAGACAAGGAAGGCGCTGGGCCAGCAGAGCCATCTTCCTTCTCGGACCTGCTACAAGCTCAAGAACCAGGGCATTCCTATTCACAGAACCCTTTACACGCAGCTGGCGCCGAACACCCACCTTTCTCCCCAGAGGAGCAGAGAGGGGCTAAGAGTGCGCAAACTCAGCAAAGGGGCCCATCACCTGTCAAAGCCCTGAGAAACCCACAACTCACAAAGCAAAGAGATGCACCCTGGCAAGCCAGGCCTGTCTGTTCCAGGGGTCAGGGTGGAGGGAGGCAGTCTCCAGCTAACAGGTGGTCCCATCCCGTCTATGCTGGCCCCAGAGCTCCATGGGACTCTCCGGCGTCAGAGGGGGTGTATGGACCTGGGGCCAATGCTCAACAGTCTTCTCCAGGGCGCTCGGTAGGGTTCCCCTGGGTGCATGCCAAGGCCCGGCATGCGCAGTAAGTGGCCCAGAGGGAGGGCAGGGTTTGGAGTTCCCCAAAGCTGCCTGTGGGTGTGGACACACCCCACCCCAGTCGTCTCCGTCATCCCTGTCCACTGTGGCCACATTTCTCACCTGCGCTAATGCAGATGTGGAACAGCTACAAATAAACCCGGCGGGACAGCCAGTTTCACCGCGGCATTGCAAAGCAGTGCTCCTTCCCTCTCAAGAGGGTGGGAAACACAACTTCCAGTCCCCTTTCAGAGCAGGGTGAAGCTGGGGCCCCTTTCAGAGCAGGGTGAAGCTGGGGTCCCCTTTCAGAGCAGGGGTGCAGGGGTCTGACTTGTCCAAAACAACTGGAGAGGGAGGAAAATGGGGCTGAATCCCCCGGCAGGGGGTGGGCTGGAGACTAGAAAAGGAACCGACCAGGGGCATCAGCAGGGCCCCCACGAAACTTCACCCAGGTGTGTGCCAGGAGCCCCTCCCTCACCCCTGCGCCTCTGGCCTGCTCCCGGCCAAGCCCCCTCCCTCCTCTTCCCACACAGCTCCTAAGCGCTCCTGGGTGCTGAGTATGTGACTTCCTCCTTGGCCTGGCCAGAGACAGGGAGGGGCAGGTCAGCGCCCTGGGCCCAGACCCTCTGAGCAGAGCTCTCAGACACCAGCCTCCTCCGAGGCCGGGAAAAACCGTTGCTGCTAATACACTGGGTTTCTTTTTTCTTTTTCTTTTTTTCATTTTCCCTTTGTGATTTGACATAAAAAAAAATTCAGACCCGCTGGGTGTCCAGGAAGGGCCTGGTGGGAAGGGGGAGTCAGGGCCGCTGGACTAGGGTCGCTAAGGACCAAGCTAGTTGTTGGCCTCAGACATGGAGGCCACGTGGTTGAGGCCCGCGAGCCCGGGGAGGCTGGCCAGGCCCGCTGCCCAGGGGTCGGGCAGTGGGAAGTAGGGCCGCGCCGTGGCCACGTTCTCGGCCAGCGCGAAGGCCAAGAGGCCCCCGGCGTTCCTCTCGGCCTCCAGCTGGGCACGCCCGAAGAGCTTCATCTGCGTCTCCTCGAACTGCCGCTCCAGCTCCTGCAGACTCAGGGCGCCCTTGGGTGCGGCCAAGAAGTGCTTGGCGGGGCTGGGGCCGGGTAGGCACACGGCAGCCCCACCCAGATGACCGCCCACCTCACCCAGCGCGGGCGGCATCACGAAGGCCGCCTTCTCGGGGGCCGGGCCGCCGGGCCCAAAGAGCAGGCTGGCGGCCCTCCAGGCGGCAGGCTTGCGGCCGCGCCTCGGCCGCGCCATGCGGCAGCTCTGGCGCTTGATGTGGCGGTGCAGATGGTCGGAGCGCGTGAAGCTCTTGTAGCAGAACTCGCACTGGTAGGGCCGCACGCCGGTGTGGATGCGCATGTGGTTCTTGAGGTCGTAGTTGTGCACGAACTTGGCGTTGCAGTGGATGCACAGATAGGGCCGCTCCCCCGTGTGCTTCCGCATGTGGATTTTCAGCTTGTCTTGCCTGCAAAGCACAGCCAGCAGTCAGTCCTGCCGGGAACACCTGGAATCATCCTCATCTTTTGCTTTCCTTCCTTCAGAACGCGCTAAGCCTTCCTATTGCGGGCCCTCCCTGGTGGCGCAACGGGTTAAATCACAGCACAAAGAAGCTCTCCGCAGCCACTGCAGCACGAGTTCAATCCCCTGCTGGGGCGCTGACCCACATGGCACAGCAGACTTCTCCTGACCCGCCTGGCGTTGCCTGTTCTGCTCCCCACTCTGTCTCTGGTGAATCCCCGCACACCCCCTGCCCCAGCCCCTCTGGCCTGTACCCCAGTTCTGTATGCATAAAAATAAATAAATCTCAAATAAAATAAAGACTACCTATTGCCATGGAGTCAAACCCCGGGAACTGGACCGATGCTGGGATTTACTTTCAACAACGACAGCCCCTCCCCCTTGCCTGTGTTAGAGTGTATAGACCCAGCACTGTCTGGGAAGGCCTCTTCCCTTCCAGAACTCCTGTGACACTTTGCTCGCGCTCTTCATCAGGGGTCTGCCGCACAGGCAGGAAAGCAGACGTGCCGGCCTCTGCCCGTGGGCTGCACCTTCAGCTCCTGCCCCCTCTCCAGCCAAGTCTTCCCTCCAGGTTCATCCTGTTGCTTTTTAAATTTGTTCGCCAAGCCTGTCCCAGCCCCTGGGCTGTTGAGCCCTGTCTAACCTCAGCCTAATCTGGGAGGCTGCAGAAGCAGGGCACACCTTGTTCAAGTCTCCGGCACTGTGGTTTCTTATCCCCAGCCCTGGGCCCTCCTCTTTGTCTGTAGACAATTCCAGGATTTACAAAAGAGCCAGGTGCAACAAGAATGCAGCCTAATCTAGGGCAGAGCTCTTCGGGGTTTAAGTGGTATTATTCAAGGTAAGGTATGGTGTAGAGGTGGGATCTGAGAGCCCCACTCCTGCAGCAGACCACCGTTGACATGCTGAGTGACTTGTAGCTGGTTAGACACCTCTGCACAGAGCAGAAACTAGTGCCAGAGCCCAGATCCTACTGCTCAGAGCTGATGGAGAGAATCTAGGTTTGTGTTGCGCAGGATTCGATTAACCCTCCTGGTGGTCTTGGATGGAGAACTGACATTGCAGGTTGCTTCCCTGAAGACTGAGCCCTGGGTAAACCAGCTGAAGGAAACTTGCAGGCTGATGATGGAGTCGGTGGGCTGCCAGCAGCCCACCCGAGTCCTCTGTATCCCCCAGGCCTGGCAAGCCAGGTGGCTCTGCCCAGTCTCGGCTCCTGCCCGCAGGTGTGGCTTGGGTGGAGCGTCTGCCTGTCATTTTTGGCTTGGGCTTGAGGGTGGGGCAGATGTGGAGCTCAGGCATCTGCCTGAAAATAGCCAGACTTAGACCACGCTCAACATAACCCCAGGACAGCAGCAGCAGCAGCAGCAGCAGCGTGTCCCGGCCACCCAGGGTCTCCTGGCCACTAGAGGTCGCACTGGCTTTCATTTTCTGATCAGTTCCCCGGGGCGGGGCAGGTGAGAAAAGGGTCATCCTGTAGGCAGGGAAGGGGCCGGGAGGTACACACCACCAGTGACCACCATGAAGACAAGGAGGCCGGCAACATGGCACCAGACAGGACAGATCCCCTCCCGCCTGTGCTCAGGGAGGCCGGAGGGCACCTGGGGGCTCACGTGGAGTGTGCAGTGGGGCGGGCAGGGAGTGCTGGTGCCCGAGCTGACTGGTGTCCTCTGTCTCGCATCCCCAGCCTGCCAGTCCCCAGGGTGCAGACCACCCCACTCCAGCATGCTGCCCTGAGGGTATCGCAAATCCACACTTCATTCAGGTGATGGGAGTTTTGAAAATGAAGGGGTCTTACAGGCCAGTAGGTTGTGGGAGTCAACCTGAGCTTCCCCCTGCAAGGTTACCGGTGCCTGATGGAGCGTGGGTGCTGGGCCCTCCCAGGGATTCCGATTTAGCAGGCCTGGGGGAGAGGGTGCAGAGAATTGGCACTTGTAAAAAGCTGCTAGACACTGCTACTACTGAGGGGAGGGGGGTTGTGGGAGGGGTGCTGAGGGCCAGGGGAGAGGAACTAGGTTAGTGTAGGCTGCTGGCAGCCCACTGACTCCCTCAGGCCCACTGACTCCCTCAGTCAGGCTGCAAGTTTCCTTCAGCTGGCTTACCCAGAGCTCAGTCTTTAGGGAGGGGGTTGAGGACAGAGCAGCACTAGAACACAGCTACTGGCTCCCAGCCTAGGCCTCTCGCCTTACCGCTGCACTGCGGCCTGTATAAATGCAGGAGTGGGCGCGTCGCACCACCAACAGTGATGCCAACAGTCCTGAGGGATTTGTGTTAGGGTTCGCGTCCTGATTCTGCGGATGGACACGCCAGGCTAGGAGGCGGACCTGGGCACGCTCGCGGGCCGTGCGACATTGCCCTCACGGGGTCTGGTGGGAGGTCTGTGCGGGCACACGTGGGTTGAAATACATCAACTCACTTCGATTCCTTGCTACAACATTATACGGTAGAATTTTTAAAAATCACTATTACACATCATTTGTAGTATTGACCCTGAGGGTTACCCTCCAATAATGGACCATGCAAATGATAAGTCTTCAAATATCAAAGCTTATAGTATCCACAATATCTCCCAGGACTCTCTTAGGCATCTAAAAGAAATTCTATTTCGACCCAAGTGTGTAAGACGTACTAAGAAAAACATTTGTGAGTCTTGCCATGGGCGGTGAATACACTGGTTTGAAAATTCTGGAAAGCCATTATTTGGAGGCACAGTGTGGGTAGGGACAGTCCCTTCCTCCCCACCAACAAGTTAGCGGGTCTCCTCCCTGGTGGGGGATTGAACCCACTAACTTGTTGGTGATTTTAAGCAAGTGACTTAATCTCTCTGTGCAGAGCTGAACTACTCCCAGATACTAGTTTCTGTTGCTAGGATTGATGACAGCTAGATTCAACCACCTGAAACAAATTCTTCACTTGGGCAGAGAAGAGGGGTGCTCAGAGAGGTCAGGCAGCTTGGCTCTCTGGGGGTGTGGTTTGTAAGCTGTTCTGGAGTTGAGAAGAGGTGGGCTTTCACACAGAGGACTCAGGCCTGGGGCCTGTATGGGCTTCTCAGGAAGTGCAGACTAGAACAATCAGAATAGAACCAGGGTATGGCTGGGGGGGAGCTCAGCCCCAGGCAGCAGCTAGCTTTGCCTAAGGGCAAATTTTCATGGGAGCAGGGATGAGGGCTGAATAGAGTGGGCAAAGCGCATGAGCAGTTGGTCCTGGAAGACTATTTAGAGATCATGTAGTTACCAACAGTGCAAGTGAACATGGACTACTGAGTCCTGGGCCCAGCAGCCTGCAATCCCGGCAGGGTGTGTCCCACCACCTTGAAAACACTCACCCAAGCCCTTCCTGGTGGTGCAAGGGGTTAAAGTGCAGCAATATGAAGCTATCAGCAGCCCCTTGTCAGGAGTTCAATCCCCCACCAGGAAGGAGAACCACATGGTACGGCAGACCTCTCCTGACTCGCCCGCTGCTCCCCTCAGCAGTGTACTTCATCAGTCGGCCTGTTCTGCTCCCCACTCTGTCTCTGGTGAATCCTCTCACCACCCCTGCGCTCTGGCCTGTACCCCAGTTCAGTTTATTCATTTATGCATAAATGAATAAATCTTTACAAAAATATAAAGCGCTCACTTAATCCAGTTCTATCAACTGCAATATAAGGAAAACCACGGATCAGAGAGGGAATAGCTTTGCCAGGTCACACAGCCTCTTTAGTTCTCGGATCATCTTTTCATATGGATTGAACACACGTGCAATGCAGAGCTGGGCCAGTGCCAGGCCCATGTCAATGCTGGGCCAGGCCCCAGCTTCCCTGGCCCTTATGACAGGGGTTGGGCTGCATCATTTTGCTTCCTGCTGTTCTGTGAGTATTTGCGTCGGCATAATGGGAGCTTGTTTTGGGAGCTTGTTTTTCTTGGCTGGCCTCATCTATTATGATGCCTATGTCCCTGCCTTTTTACAGATCTGATCAGCTCATGGAGCCCATGAGTTTGGCTGGACTGTGTTTGAGCCTGGGTCTTAAGACATGGGCCTAAATCATGTCCCTTCAGGGATGGAGGTCCAGCGGTCTCCCTAAAAATCTCCTGAGATTTCCCCTGTCCACTGGCCTATGTGCTTACTTGCCCTCAGCATGACTGTCAAGGTCAAATTCTTCGCAAGCTCTAAGCTGAATGAGTTCCGGGGACCCCTGGTTCGTTAATAGCACTGTATCGTATACGTTAGAGTGGCAGAGAGTAAACCTTAAATATTCTCCCCAGACACACATGACATCCCTCCCCCCATGTCACTATGTGAGTGATGGGTGTGTTAACTAAGCTGACTGTGGTAGTCATGTTGCAATAACTAGGAATATCAAGTCATCATCAACTCCTGCACCTTAAACTTGCACAATGTTCTATGTCAAACATGTCAATGAAGCCGGGGAAAACATCACTCTACTTTGCCAAGGAGGCACCCCTCCCTATAGTATGCACCCACATACTGCATGGGTATGCTGTTCCCTTAGCATCTTTGAAAACTTGGTGGCAGGAGTCTGCCACATTAGGGGATGGATGCCAGATGAAACTCTGACTCCTTCTTCCCCTGCGTCTACCTTGCGTCCAGACACCAGTGATTTCAGGTGTCGGCGTGCTGCTCCTTTGTCCCTGGCTCCCCCATTGTGAGTTCCCTTCTGCCTGCACCCATTGCTCTCATGCCTGACTTTACTCTAGCAAAGTGCTTTTCCTGAAGTGTCTCCTGCTCCAGATCCCTCTAAACCTTCAAGATCAAATTCAAAGGAGGGGCCCTTCCTGCTGGTGCAGCACTGCAAGCCAGCCGTAGCCACTTCAGTGCAAGTTCGATCCCCGCCCCGGAGGTGACCACATGGCGTGGCAGACCTCTCCTGACCCGCCCGCTGCTCCCCTAAGCAGTGCACTTCATCCATCTGCCGTTTCTGCTCCCCACTCTGTCTCTGGTGAATCCTCTCGC